TCATGTTCCCTTTGTTAAAAAACTAAGCTCTATTTTCATTGTCTTATTTTCTGTTTGGTAAATATCATTTTCTCTTGTCCTCTTTGCAGCTACCATGGAAACGAACAAAAAATGCTTCAGATTAAATATTTTTAAATAGATTTTTTTTTTCTCCCTGGTAGAAAATGGTACCAGTTTTCAAAATGTGTATTGATGTAGGAGCTGAAGGGAAATATGTTTGAGCAATGGACTAAAGGTGGCTTTGTATCCCGTTGTATTGATAAAAATATATTAAAAAACACATTGCCGCTGTTAAACCCTAGGAGTGACACTAGAAACAAAGCAACCCAAGTACTATTTCTTTTCTGAAATATGTCTAGTGTGAAGAGTTAAAGATCCTATGAAAATAATAAGACTGGCATGTAAATAAAACAGGTTAAATCATAAATAATTTTGATACTTGGGAAATAAAGACCTTATTTCCTCTCCTCCAATTGCAGGTACTTTTTATTGCAATTGCAAGAATAATGTATTTTAGTGCTGAATCCAGAGCATTTCATTTTGCAGGCCGAGCCCCATAAAATGAATAATCTCCAGCAAACGTACCCTAAGACTCACTGTTATTTATATGCAGGGAATGGTGGCTTATTTACCCAAACATTCGAGTGATCCAAAATGTTCAGCTAAGCAGGAACACAAAATATGATATTATATTATGTAAATGGGTTTGTGATACGCTCTGCTGGATAATAACTTCCAGATGTCTCCGTAGCCAGAGGCTGACGGATATCAAAGGCAGGTTGGCTGGGAGGGGAGACGAGCCAGCTGGCGAGACTGGCTAGTGCTAAGTGTAGCGGAAGGTGAAAGCTGGTGTTCCTTCACACTCACTGGTTTTATCTGTGCGCTACTGAAAAGTCAGTGGCTCGCAGCCTTTCTTGTCACGAGCAGGACGGGGCTTGAGGGGCTGGGGGGGGGGTCCAACGTGCCCCATTCTGTCAGTCAGTTATTTTTCGCCCTCTTTTGTGAGTAGAGGTTGAGTTTAGTCTGAGTCTCCCAACAAATGAAAGGCTGACGAGCCGCAGACCAACACTGACAGGAGCTTGTGGACTTCCTAGATGGCAATTCTGCCTTTATTGCTGGTGCCAAGTGCAGACAGGGAATGTTCCTGAGCTCTCAAGAATCACGGTGTAAGTGGAGTTAGTTGAAGCACCCCAGTGCTCACCAGTTTGGAGTCAGGTTTCCTAAACCTGGTTGAAGTCTGACAGTCCTTTAGGGGTTTAGCTCTGTCCTGTTCTGAACACAGCAGGTTGTATTCACCATTGTTAAAGGCAAGGCTAGACTGAAAAGGGACTGGAAATGACTCCTGTGAGATGCCACTGAAGTTACTGAGATCGACTTCAAGACACCCCTACACCTTCTGTGGAGCAACCTGTGAGAAGAAATTTCCTTTCCTTGCAGAATGCGTGCAGAATGTGGACTTTAAATAATACAGTCACCCCAGCACACATTGCATCTCATCCTTGGCAAGCTCTGAAAGATTCTACCCCAGTATGAACACTGAGGCATTAGATCCCACTGAATCCAAACTCTCCTAACAAGTTTATATCCCAGCATGGGCTTTTCTCCTGTTGTTTTTCTTCATCCCACACTTTTTAATTACTTTTTCTCCTTGATCTTGAAGGTTTTCATCTGTTATGGCTCCTCTGTGTTCCTCTAGCTTATCAGTGTCCTAAAATGATAGACAGGCATAATTACTGAATTATCTGACTATTTTATATCCTCCTTTAATTATCTGTGTATCACCAGAGACCATGCTCACATGTTCCATGTTTGGTTCTATCATAACGAATTATAAATGTCACCGTGTAATTTTTGGAATGGAGAGTGGACTTCTCTTTCCACTGGGCCCACGTTTCATGGATTACCCTCTCTCAGACTTCATGTGCCCATTCCCCTTGTGCCATATGGAAGAAGGGGATGGCACCTCACAAAAACAACAGGAGGGAAACCACCCTAAAGCAGCGGCACTAGAGGTGCTCAACTTGATTGTGGGAAGGACTATGGGCAGATTTTGTTCTGGTGACACTGCAAAAGGTAGTGATAATATTTTATCTTTTCCAAATGTCTTGAAATTCCAGAAAGCATATGGCCTGTGAGGCCATGAGAGAAGGAGCAGTTGTTATCTCAATGAAAACTGTTATTCATCAAAACCAGGATTGGAAGCTGTATTTTAGAATTAATTGAATTTGGTGTCACATTCTGCTTTTGAGTTGAACTTTAGATTCTTGTAAACTTGAAAACACAGGAGAGTTTTCTGGGGCTCGCTCTTAGTTGATGCTGTTATTCCAGAGATGTTCTTGGATGTTTCAGTCAAAGATCTGAATAGTTCTGGCATTTATACTCACCAGACTTTGTTACTGCATTTGTCTCGCAGCTTTTAAACAACAGAAAACATGTACAACGTATTTAAACAACACCAGAGAAATTAAGGTCATGAGAATGCATTGTCAACAAATGAAGATAAAAAAGAGCTGTTGTTTTTAAAAAAAAAAAAAATTGTTGTTGCAAGATGCTTTTGAAATTCTACATATCAAATTCAGAGTCATGTTGATGATTTATTCTAATGTAGGAAAACATCATCAAGAGTGACAAGCAAGCTAGTCACTGTCTAGTCACCTGCCAGCAAGTATTTCATACAGACTAAAAAGGCCGGTATTTCCTTGCTGAGCTGACACTAATTATTTCAGTATACATGGAGCTTTGGGATTCATGTTAATTCTCAAGTCTGTCTTTAGTTCAGACTCATTCCACTGTGTAAACTCAGCAGAGCACAAATTATTTGACCATCCTTTCATAATCTGTCCCAATGCTCACTTGCCAATTATATAAACTGATCCAAATACCTGCTCTCAAAGGATCCTCATTTGGGAATCACAAGCCAATTAAAAAAAATAGAGGATATCCACTTTTCTGTGACTCATGTCTCACAGCCCTATTTCATGTTGACGTGCATTTCTGCGTGTCTTCTTTAGATAACATTGTTTTCGTTAGTGTTCAGAAAAGATACCTTTCTGGTGATAACACCTTCTTTAGATGAAAACTCTATCACATATAACAGATTGCATCCCAGAGGAAGGAGGAGGTCAGCAATGCCTACAAGTATCCTGACTTTCCCAAAAAAGTCTCCCACTACTGCATCGTGACTCTGTTTCTTTGTTCATTACACACTTAAGTGAGTATTTTTAGAACAACTTCTAAATATTGAGCCGTGGTTCTGTGTTTTGCAGCAGCTTAGTGACGATGCTTGTTGAAGGTGTATAAACAGCACTTGGGTGAAGACAACCCCTCAGTCACCTTGGTGGCATGAGTGTGAGAGAGGACCTGAGAAACGTGCCGTTGTGTGTGACTGAAAAGACCATATTTGTCTGTTCTGTGAAAATTCAGCTCCGGAATGGGCTCGTTTTTAAGGGCTGCGTAAAAATAGCTGCATTTTTGCAGAAATGCTTCCAGTCCTTGCAGCCAGTGGATGTCTGCCCTCCACAGGTAACAGAGATCAGAGCCACGATCAAGCTGTGGCAATGGGCTCCTGTCTGCTGTGCCCAGCTCGCAGCGTCCAGAGGGGCCACACAGCTTTGGAGGCGCCTCTCAGTTCAGATACTGTTTGCCTTTCGTAGGCTGTTTAGTTTTCATACATTATATAGTCTTGAGGTGAATGCCTGCTTTTCTGCACTTCCAGATCAGGAATTGAAATGTGCTAATAGATGGATTTACACCAAACTCTGAGCCCTGAAGCAATGATTCCCACTGAAATCAGTGCCTACAGATAAAGGCTTGTAGGATGTTTGAGTTTGTATGTTTGGAGCGAGACAAAAAGTGAGTGTGGCTTAAAATGGCAGGAGCCGCAGAAACTACTTTGATAGGTTTTCCCACACTGTACTTGTGTTTGAGGGCATGGGTTTGTGGGGGTTCTTAGAGAAAAATAACTGAAAATTGTAAAGTTCAGAGAACAGTATTCCCACTGGATCTTACCTCAAATGAAGAGAATGTGACTTGCAGTCTTTGTGATTTATGAAAGTTTTCTGGTGGGAGTGCAGGTCACCATATGGTAACAAGAGCTGTGCTAGTTATCTTTTCTGCAGACTTTCCAGAAGTAATTGCTGAAATCCTAGAAGACCATAGAGTATTTAAGTATTGGGACTGCATAACCTCTGAAGATCCTTTCCAAATCTACATTTCAGTGATTCATCATTCTGTAAGGCAGAAATTTTTCTAGTAATGAGGCAGTCTCTCTAAGTCCAAACCAGGGTCTCACCATTTCCATTTTTACTCCACAGCATTGTAAAATTTCCAGTGCCAAAGTATGCCATGGACAGAATCTATCATTGAAAAAAAAATTGCAAAGGAGGACTCAAAGGCATGCCAAATAATGAAAATTTACTGCCTGAAATGTGTTCCAGTTCGCAGGCAGTGCGGGGAGATGTGTATTTCGTATTTATGTTCAAAACCCAGCCCTTGCAAAATTTGTCATGAAGCACTAAGAATCTGAACTAATGCACCTTTGCAGCCGTGGGTCTGACTCTCCCTCTGGTTGGGGGTTGGTTGGATTGCAGAATACATCTGCAGAACCACAGACTGCAGGTTGTTGTAGCCTTGCTTGTGCTCAGTGCCAGACTACAAAGCTGGCCCCATAACATGGACTGTAAAGGAATCCTCTCCCTTTTTTGTGTGTGTTCTGGTAGATTGTATTTATTAGAAATTTGCAGAAACTTCTTTACTCCAGTGTTCTGCTAAATCTCCCTGCAGCTGGTGTAATGAAGATGATACATTCTGGGAGGCATCTTGATTTGAGAGTGACAGCTCCATATATTTGTGAAAATGAAGTGGCAGCAGAGCTGCCAGCAAAGCATATTGTGTCTTTGTTCCGTGGGGCCGTTTGCACACGGGGAAGCGCCGCTGCTGGGACAAGTCCTAAGAAGTGAGGAAGAGGCTTAACTGGTTTTGCATTCTTGTTTCCAAAACAGCCAAAAGGCAGGAAGACACTACCTGGAGACCTGGTGCAGCAGCAAAGTGACACTCTGCTCCCGTGGCGGCAGCATCAGAGCGCCAACGGCCTGCGGAGGCAGAAGAGGGACTGGGTCATCCCACCCATCAACGTGCCAGAGAACTCCAGAGGACCCTTTCCACAGCAGCTGGTTCGGGTGAGTGAAAATAAGAAACAAAAATCATAATAATAATGGTAATAATAAATGGTCATCTCATAGTGGGTCTGGTGAAGCAGTAGATGTGGTCCAGGTTTCTGGAGTGGGAAGTCTGGCTCGAAGCACAGGCTCTCTGCTCTTCCTCCCTCATGCAAGAATAGTGGCCTTTTACGTGCTGCTGAAACTCATCTTTTCCAAAGCGCCTTGCCCCGGTTTCCCTCCCCAGCTGACGGCAGCCTAATCACCTCCTTCCAGCCAGTCCCTCAAGAGGCTCTGGCATTGCTGCCAAGATGGCCCTTTGCCCACTCCCTCATCCAGAAAATGGCTGCAGGTGTAAGGCTGGGTTGGTGGCACCCAGCGACGAGGGGTGCTGTGTCCTCCCCTCCCTCCGCCGGTCCCGGGTGCAGATGTGTGGTGGCCTGGGGGAGGTTGGCTCTCTGCCCCCGCTGCAGATGGATCCTGCATCCTCTCTGTGTTTCTGGTTTCTTCACAAGGATAATCTCTGAGATCAAGTTTTCCCCATGTGCTTTTCTGTGATGATTATGGGATGACAGGAAAAGAAAAAGAAGGGAAAAAGAGTGTTTTACAGAGACATTTGGTTGATATGTTATTGGTGTTGGTAAGTGTTAGCAAAATGCAAATACATGTTGCCGTTCCTCTTGTGGGTGCTGGTTTCAGTTTTTGGAGCAGTAGAATGATTAGCTGTAAAAAAAAAAAATAAATAAAGTTCCTTGGCAGACTCTTTCAGTTCTTCCCTTGGAAGAAAATGACGACAATTATAAAATTTCTGAAGTTATTTTGAGCAGCAGTGGTGTGTCCTTGGCATCCCTTCTCAGGAAGTTCATCTAGTCATCTTGAAACAGTGCCTGGATTCACGAGTTGCATGGTGACCTGTTTCACGCTGATTAGCTGATCCTCTTCTGCACAGCCCGTGTCTGGGAGGAAGGAAGGTACTTCCAAACGACTTGCTGAGTCCTTTGGAAACTCAGGTGGACTTTACAATGACTCATGCAATGACTGAAAGGGCATGTTCCCAGTTCACCAAGTATTGGGTAAACTCGGCTTGTTGGTATCATTTCTTTGTGCAAAAAGGAATCAAAAGTAGCAGGTGATAAATGTTTTTATGTCTGTCCTGGAAAAACAGGGAGGGAAGCCAAGGAGTCTTTGTGTGGTCAGTGGTGCTGGGTATGGAATGACCCATTAATGCGTTGTCCTACTAAGCGGAAGAAATATCTGAAGAGGAAAATGACCTGATATGTCAAAAATATCTTCCTAAATCATATTAATAATTTAGATTAAATCCTGAATTCCTGTGAAAAATAAGGGGAGTACTTGAAAAATTAACTTGGGCCCTGTCCCATTCCCTGCTGATTTCTTTTGAGCTTTGACTAGACAGAGAGAGGACAACTTGGCACCAGCTTACCATGGCAAATTTGTTGATTTATAAGGACTGAAATCTCTGTGGCACTTTTTCCCCTACAGTCTGGAGATGAAACAGAAGGACTCGAGTATGCAAAATTCCAGTATTAATAAAAATGGCAAATAATACATTTTATATAGCCACAGAAGAATTTATATTCATCACTTAAACTATGAGTAACCTTGGAAAGATAACCTGGCTGATGGAAACACAGAGCTCCCAGATTTTCAGCAAGATATTTCATTTCAGTTTTCGAATACAGAAGCTGGAGGAAACACTGAAAATTAAGTAAAAATGGCGGGGAGGGGTAGGGGGGAAAGAATTGGCTTACAAAGGGCTGCTTTCCTTTTCACCTGACTTACAGAAAGCATCGTAATGACAGAGAAGATCAGACAAAGAGTGCGACTTGATTAAGCGTGAGACCCCTGATGTTTTAGGCTCGGGTTGAGTTTCTGCTCATCTGCAGCATCTGGCCCGTTTGCCAGCGCCTGAACGTGAAGCTTGGGTGATTCCTAGCAGGAGTTACAGCTTCCCCTGTGTCTTTAATTATCCAGAATAGGACAAATCAACGTCTTCAAAGACCAGCACTATCTGATTATTTCCATCCACATAATCTTCAGATTGCCCTAGAGCATTCTGCTGTCTCCTAGATCTAGGTAACAGTTTTGATCTGATTTCCTATGCCTTTGCTCACTGGGCGCTGAATATTTTTGTGTCCATCTGCTCACAAACTGCAACCAGAAGTGCACATGTGAAGTTCCAGCTCAGATCCCATTTGTACAGAGGCAGGTCTGTCACAGTTTTATCTGCTACTTAATATAAAACACTCAAACCTGGAACCAGCAGGTTCTTGGACACTGACCTTTTTTTTGGTCCAGAAAGCCCTGCCTGAGCTTACACTTTTGAGGTATAACTAATGGAAACCAGGCCCTCTGTAGTGCTATCTTTGGTTCTGGCTTCCTCCAAGGAGAGGAAGGGATGGCATGAAAAATCTGAACACTAAAAAACCAGAAAGAACCCTACCAGAAGTACATTGTCATAGTACCACTTGCTGTTTGCGTTTTTATAGGTCAGACTAATTTGAAATGCATAGGCAAATCTTTCAGGTTCCCTCCTACTCCTGCTTCCTATTGTGAAGGTAAAAATTCCATTTTATGGAAGTTGATTAGTTACTTGTCAGTATTTTTAGCAAGGCTGTGCCTGAATGAAGTTTAAATCATAGCAAAGGTGAATGCAGCTTGATGGGAGCCACATACCTCGAAAGGCAGCCCTATCTGGTTCAGCTGGGATCAACTGTAATTCTCTGCTCATTAAACCATTTCATTCTGATAAAATACATTAAATGAAAAGTTTTTAGGAAAAAAAAAAGAAAAAAGGAACATTATCCCTGCCAAAAAAACCCCACTGTTAATTACAGGGTTTTTTCTTACAAAGGAACATCCGTGTCTGTTCATATACATCAACCACACTAACTAGGAAATGTAGTTCAGAAAAATGATAGCTAAAAAAATAATAATAGGAATTTCTAATTAGTTTTGGCTGCTGAAAGGATTTACTTACTCTTCGAAGAGTTTAAATAAACATCTGATATTTATAAGCTAAAAATATTTTCTATTAGTATAAAAAAATGTTTTGCAAATTTTGCTTTTGCTTTTGAGCTGAGAAAACAGTTATCAAATTTTATTGATATATGCTTATTTATTTTGCAAACATTCATGAAAATCTTCTGTTTAATTTCCTTGTGCTTCACTTCCACCTTTGTATTAGGAATAATATTGTACATGCTGTGAAATATTTCACTGTAGTGAGGATAATTTCATTGCTAATTGTCAGGTACTCTCATTATTATAACTATGAGGTCCATAAAAATGCCTATTAAAAATACAAAAACAATGTGAAATCCCCCTCCTTCTCCAAGCAAATAACTCATGCAGGCACACTGATCAACTAAGATAATACATTAAATAGTTGCCCCCTTGCTGAGCACCATCTATTTTCTCACTGACTCATCCTTTTTAGCTACATGCATAGCTAATTCTTAATTATCTATTATCTAATTATCTATTAGCTTATCTTGTATTTCATCCTCTTTTGAACTTCAAAAAGAATCTCAGTTTTGCATCCATGTGCAAGTCTCTAGCTGCTTCTAATAGGATTCTTGAATCAGTTTTCAAGGCAGGTCTTGGTCCATCTCAATGGCCTGCATGAAAATAATTTGTTTTAAGAAAAAGCAGTCTTTTTCAGGACTGGTCTGTGGTCATGCCATGACAGGCTCTTCCATCAACCACTGCAACCATATTCACCTTTATGAGGGCTCCAGACTTCCAAATCCTCTCCAGGATCTTCACAGAGCTCTTAAGATCCTCCTGTCTCAAACTTCGTAGACCCTCATTTTTCCAGCTTGCCTTCATTTATCTTGGCACTGAGAAATGTGGTATTCCCCCATTAAATCTCTTATGTTAAACAGCTTGTTCATTCTCATTACACCAGCATGAAAATCCACTGAGGATGACCGAGACAGGATCTTGGTGCTCTTACAAACCCCCTTGATTGCACAGCATGCGCTCTCACATCCGAGCACTGGTGATCTCAGCCACAAGAATACTAGAAATAATCTAAGTGAGTAACAGGAAATAAGAAGGAAGAATGCATTTTATGTAAATTTAATCAGAAAGCCCTGAAGTAGTTTTTGGAAAGTTAGCAGACTGAAGACTCTCGCGTTGCTTCTTAGCAGAGGTGACGTCGGTGGGTCGAGTTTAGTGCAGCACGTTAGGAACTTGTTTTAAACTGCATGTTTTAAAGAAATTTCAAATGTACATGTCAAAAAATTAGCAAGGTGCCTTATTTCCCTTTCTTCAGTCGTTCCATGAGTCATGAGCAAAGTCCTGGTTTGGTCTCACACACACACATACACATAGAAGAGAGATCAATACCAGAGCCAAGACCGTGGCAACACGTGCAGAGAGCTCCTCTTCACACACTAGAAGACTCCAGAGGTGAGTTTAGCACATATTAGGCTGTATTGTGACATTGAATACACTCTAGAGCTTCACAGCCCATCCTGAAGCAGGAAACCAGTGTAGTGAGAAAGTTCTCCAAAATCTAAAATCCTGGCGTTGGAGATACATAAGACATACTGAGCTGTGAAATCCCCGCCGGCTTGGACCATCAGCCCTCAATATTGCCATCTCCTTTGCTCATCATGGCTGGTTCAGCATGTGCTTTTGCAGTTGTTTTAAATAGTTTTATTGTAGGAAATCCCTCATGCCTCCTCTATCACAGAGTTGCTCACTGCTGTGAAATTGGCAGTGCAGAATCCATTAGCTCCCAGCTGCAAGACAGATGGCATCTGTCTGTGGTGAGAGAAGGTTTGTTGAGAAAAGGCCTTGCAAATGCTTCCCAAAGGACATCAGACCTTACTTTTCCTGAGAGAGATGCAGGCAGCCTTGATTACAAATAGGCCTAGATCTTCCTTGTTCTCCACAGGAACAGGTGTTTCTTTTGCCTTACCAAACACACGCAGAGTTGAAAAAAATGTCTAGTTGTGGCTCTCAGTGCACCTCACTTTTGGTACCCATGT